TAGAATTTCATAATTTGATAACTTCATAGAATTTTGCACTTGTTTACTCACCAACGTTAAGTTACAGTTACTAGTTAAAATCACACCACATCACAATTGCTTGTCCAATTAAAGTGAAAACTACACAATTATAGTATTCAGCAGAAATCATACATCAGCCCATGTGGGTTCGACAATCTTCACTACACCATTATATTACAAAACTTGACACCATATACTTGCGATATAATTCACGTTATAGAAAACGCGTGACACATACTATCAAAGGCGTTATTGTGTAAGAAATTTGTGGGGAAATTATAAAAAATCAGTTGTTTAAAGATTACTTCATAAAATTCAGGTTTTAACTTTATTTAATAAAAAATCAGGTTTTTATCATTTTAAATAATAATGATATTATAAAATTAAAATAAACTATATACCCACCCTACTACCTACTCTCACCAAATTTATTTTAAATATGAACCCTAAATCAACTCTCGTCTCTCACCATTTCTCTCCCCTCTCTCACCGCCTGTCGCCTCCACCGCCACCGGCCGTCCCTCCCCCTCCTCCTCCCTCCCTCCCTCCCTCCCTCCCTACGGTAGCAGCGTCGCAACGTTGCTGTGGGTGTGCAGCTTCGTAACGCTACTGTGAATCTTAGCAGCGCCGGGGCAGCGTCGCGACGCTGTTGGCGAATCTCTGTGTGTGGTTTTCTCGTCGGTGGTGGTATAGCGATCTGTGTGTGTGGCTGTTGTTGTGGCGGATGTGTGTGTTGGCGGATCTGTTATTGGTGGTTTGGGCAGTGTTTGGGTGGTGGTTGGTGGTGTTATTGTTGGTGGGTGGTTGTGGCGACGGAGGTGGCGGCTGTGGCGGCGGGCATATGGGACGAAGAGCGTCTGACCAACTATTTGGTCGATTTGTGACCAAGTGTTGGTGGTGTACTGGGATTGGGGGACGGGTGTTTGGATGTATGTGACCAACTATATCGATATGTGACCAAGTATTGGTGGTGTACTGGGATTGGGGTCTGTGACCAACTATTTGGTTCATCTGTAACCAAGTGTTGGTGGTGTACTGGGATTGGGGGACAAGTGTTTGGGCGTATGTAACCAACTATATCGATCTGTGACCTGTGACCCAATATTGATGGTGTACTAAGATTGGGAGACATGTGTTTGAGTGTATGTGACC